GCTCAGATTTCATCCCCCCAGTGGACCACCCACTCTCCTGGGGGCTGCAATGGGAGGTTTTCAAATGTTCTGCCACACAAAGCAGGGACTGAGCGGCTCTGGGTTCAGGCTGATTGGGACGGAGGTGGAAGGTGAAGAGGGAACCCGCAATTAGGCGTTGACAGAAACAAGAAGATGGAAGCTCACCATCTGTCAGGAGGTTTCAGCCGCCTAGTTTCCAAAACAACAACAGCTTCACTATGAGGAAGTTGGCTTGGAGTGGGAGGGAGGATGGGCGAGATCCTTGTGCGACCTGCAGTGATGTGATGCGCCAAGCAACCAGGTGAAGCCTGATCTGTAGATAAAATGCCAGTTGGACTCTGGCCAACTGAAGCAAAACATTGACCGACTTTGTTTTGGCTGTTGTAGCCCTTTGGGACCTCTTGTACCAGCTGATGTATCCTATAATAACCAGTAAGATGAGACCCCTTCTGAAATACGTCCTGCCAACGGGGTGGATGATCTGGGAAGCCATTTCATGGAAAGCTTCTTGTGAGCACCAAGAGTTGATAGGTGACTAATTTCTCTCTCTGTGTACTATGGGGGCACGGCCTTCCTTTCATGCAGTAAAAGAACACTTTGGCCAAATGGCTTCTTTCTTTGATATCTCCCGGGCACTCAGCCCAGGGCTCCCAGGGGAAGCCTGCAATGGGACCTGGCTCTGCTCCAGTCCACCACCTCCACTCCAGGGCAATGGTTGGGAAGAGAGCGAGTTCACAATCAGTTCACAGATTGGCTCAGAAGGACACCTCAACCCCTTTTCAAGGGCCACTAGAATACCAGCCAGTTCACAGGGGGGGGGGACGACACACCTGACTAAGCTGGACAATGGCCCTTGACAGATGCCATCTCCTAAACTGAGTCTCTGGCTTTGCATTCCCACTTGAGCTGACCCAGGATGGGGCTGTCTTCCTGCTCTTCTGGGGATGCCCTGCTTCCCCTGCTGAAGCAGCCCAACCATCAGGGAGTCAGGCCAGGAAGTGACTCTCTCTCTCCTTCTGCTGGGCTTTGAACCTACTGTAGAACCCCCCCCCCCACCAGACAGGGATGGAAGAAGCCTCTGCAGGTAAGAAGATAGTGCTCGATAGGGTGATGGGTAGCCCAGAATTGGCCCAGATCCCTTCAGACATAAAGAAAAGCAATCCAGGCCAACCCAACATTTCCCACCTGAAGGAGGAGACCAGTGCCTTCCATTGGCGAGACATCCGAGTCAGCTCAGGAGTTCATGGCTTCCATGACGGCTATGGACCTAACTCAGTTAATTCAAG